CTACTCTCAAGCCTGCTCGTTCAGCCAAAATTGTGGCCTCGATCATAATTTGATGCAATACTGTTTAACTTGCGCTTCCCTTACTCAAAAAGCACCCAAGGGTTTGAACCCATTTGCCTTTAAACAGTTGAAACATCACAACAAGAGCGTGATCACCTTTAACTCCTTGTTGGTGTTTTGGTGTGTACTTGCCAAGGTTTGTAAATCCCTTAACCTTGAGAGTTATTCGATTGAATGCCAACGTTTTTGACAATTTCATCTCATCAACTAGGAGCACACCTGTAGAACAGAGTGATAGCAAGTTTTAACATACAGTAGATCAAATCACTAATAAACGTGACTCGAAGCGAAGCAGTATTAGTAGTTACATAAACGAGAAAGTATGACTGTTATCAAATATAATGTACGTGTTCATCTAACGTTTATAATCAGTAATATGTACATTTGCGAAATGAGTGGCAAATTTATGGAATCTACGAACAATAAATTAGGAACAAATCAATCTAATTTTTAATTGAAAAATATATTTAATTAACAATGAAATTTAATTCTTAATTAATAAAAGTATAAATAATTTGTATATTCTTCATCAAAAGTACGGAAGTACAAAAAATTTGTTTAAAATCGAGAAGTAAAAAAATGCTATATAAATGATACATACAACGAAGTAAATATTTTACAAAATTGAACAACCAATTGGTTGCTGGGCAGTAATGTAATTCATATTTTACAAATAGAACGATCAATTAATTGTTTAGCAGTCGGGGAGGCTTCGGCCCCCCTGAACCACCCGTCACCAGGGGCTCTGTCCTTGGACCACCGCCAGAGACAGCTGCCCCTGGACCCTGTACGTATTAATTTTTATACAGCAAAACGAAATTTGTTTTATTTGTAAACATATGAATGTATTCATTTAAACATATATTACCTGCTTATCTAAAAGTATAAGTTTTTTGGGTAATTGTGCACTTTAACTTACACACTTTAAGACACTTGAGAAAAAAAGAATTATAATGTTTTGACGATTCAGATGTATAATGCATACATTTTTGATGAGTGAAAGTCAATTTTTTATTTATGTATAGTTTCCACCTTTGTTGCCTCGGGTATTTTTACCACGCACAAGTGTGGATACTATAAATCAAAATATACTCTCGTCATCTTGAGTGTTTATAGAAGAAAATTTTTTTAACAGAGATAAAGCGAGTTTCTTACGTTGTATACTGTTGATACTGCACATATTACTGCAGTTAGTATTATACCCGTTATGACCTCACTTTTCCCCCCAATGAGAAAAATATGATACGCAACTCGGGCGCAAACCTTCTCGCCCTTGGACGCACTTTTGTCCCTCGAGTACTTTAGGCCCTCGGGAGGGGAATGCACATTTTCACAGTCGTGCCCAAAGCACTCTGCGGGCACAAAGTGTGCCCGCGGGCGCGAAGTTGTACCTTGCGCCCTCGTGGCGTAATATACTATAATAATTCATAAGGTTTATTATAATTGAAATGTTCAGCGAGAACGTCGAGTTGGGAAATGAGTTCCCTACGAGTAATTAAATAATTACTTCGTACTTACCATGCACGTCTGCCTGGTTCATTTTGAGCGTTTTCAATTTCAAGAGTTTGAACACATTGTCATCAAAACCGTACGATCCTTTAATGTGTTTCATGTATCTACTCAGGGTGTTGATGGACGGCCAGCACAAAATATTATAGCTTCTGAAAAGTTCATATGTTTTCCTACTCCTTATTTGGAGGAGAATACATTCATAGATCCACTGGTTTGTGAATCTCGTGCCTCTTTTATCTGAAATTTTTGATGAATCAAAACGTGCTGTTACTGCAGCTCTTTGGCTCTCTGGTAATTTCTCGCAAGTTTGATTCAGAATTGCGGCATCAGACTTCGCACATTCAATTTTAGCCAATTTCATTTTCTGTTTGAGGGCTAGCAGCTGAAACATTTAAAGTTATGAACAGCGATACAGTAGATAAATTAACAATTGAATTGTTATACAGTTTTTGTTTTACCACGATTTTTGATTAATACTTGTATTGTTCTTATTATTAAATATTTATTTCTCGTGGTATTTATTAACTTACTGTGTATTATATATATAATCTCGAAATTGGAGTATTAT